CGACGCGCCAACACACTGTATATACACATTTAAACTTAATTTTTTTTTTAATATTTTAAATTTTGATCATAATCAAATCATTTTCCATTTATTTTGCTACTTCAAAACGCATTGTTTTTATAATTTTATACAATCTTAAACAAAAGATTGAAATTTTTAAGAGTAGGCGTCGCGCCGAACCGCGCGACTCATTGAATTCACAAACCGGCAGATTATATCAATTTTTGACTTGTAAATGCTTTATAATTGATGAAAAACCTTAAAAATTACATAAATAACACTCTTATCAAGTAAATAAGTTCATAATAACGTGTTATAAGCATAAATTTAATTGTAGAAGACTGTAAAATCCAGTTATACCTATCGCTCCAACGCGGCAGAGATTCAATAAAGCCACAAATATAAAAAAATATCAATTATAAATCGATTAAAAATAAATCTTTATTAAGCCCACCCCTCGAAACAACGTTTTTTATAGAAAAATTCATAAAATTCTGCATATAAATATTGCTAATTGAATAAAATTCGGCATTTCGAAAAAATAAAGAAAAATCATAGAAAATATTTATTTCATTACATTTTTATAGTAGAGAAGATAAAGAAGAGAATATTTTTATTCATATTATCTCGTTCAAACGCCTGTGAATTATTTATAAATGCAGTAATATTATAAAGAGAAAAGCACTTTTCCAATTCATTACAGGGAGGGAGGAAGAGGAGGAGGAAGAGGATGATGAATTTTGATACGATTACCTACTGATGTCGTCCAGAGAAATAGTAATGATATTAATTCTGCAATCTCCGGAAAAACATAGCATCTCTCCCTCGTTGCCATAGTGATGTGACATCCAGATAAGAGGCTATTATAGAAAAGGACGATCCATCTTTCATTTTCCGGATGGAAACTGTTAAATCGGAGTGTTAAACGTTATGATTCTTTATAATTTTTCTCCCTCCCTTCTTAATTTAATTTATATATAGATATATTATCTTAAAAATTAACAAAATTATTATTTAAAAATATATTTTTTTAGGTCAAAATTATAATTACTTTTAAGCATCTTACTACATCTTACACATGACTTTTAGAGATGGACTATTTTAAATTTTAAAAAATAAATTTTAAAATTTTTATATTAAATAAGCCTAAATATGAAAACTTAATCTATTTTAATTTATTTGTAATTTTTTAAATAAAAAATTATATTACTTTTATCGTTTTCTAACGCTGCCTCTTAGTATCCATCCGCATCTTTTAACTTTTAGATCTTTTTTAAAATTATTTTTTTAGACTTTTTGGCTTAAATAATTCTTAAATATTCATTAAAATAATAATAATAATAATAATNCATCTTGCATCTTATATATGTCTTTTAAAAATTAATTATTTTAATTTTTATAAAATTTATTTCCACATTATCATTTTAAATAAGCTTAAATATGTAAACTTAATCCATTAAAACTATTATTTTAATTTTTAAAATAAAGTTTTTAATAAATAAGAAAAAAAATTGAAATCTTTCTCAATCTTCCACTCTGCCTCTTAGCATCCCCCGCATCTTTTTAACTTTTAAAGTAATTTTTTGATTAATTTTTAAAATGCTTTTTGCTCACATAAATTCGTAAATATTAAATAATTAATACTAATAAAATTTACTAACATTTTTAAAAAAATATTAAATTCTTCTTAAGTAGAAACTGAGATGGTAAAGTTGTTTTTTCCTCTCATAAGAATATAATCTACTATTAATATCATAAAGAATTTTAGCATTAATGGATTTTAATTCCGTAGAGAATATGAATAAGTGTGTTTTCAGAGGATCTAAATTAAGAAATGGCATTAAAAAATATATATTTTTTGCTTCGTTTTAAATCTAGATTACATTTTTTCTATAATTCAATTTTTAATAAATGACAAGAAAAATTATTTTATAAAGAAAATGTATCCTTTTTGAGTTTAAAATTTATAATTTCTCGAAGGAAAATGCCCGTAGGTTGTTTTGGAAAATGGAAAATTTCCTGTAAATTGTTTTTGGAAAAGTAAAAGGATTCCTGTAAATTTTCTTAGGAAAAAAAACGTAAGAAAATTGTTGTAGAGGGGAATTAAAGCTTGTATTTTTTGAAGAAAAGTACAAAAAATTGTAGATTTTTTTTTCTAGAAAATGGAGAATTTTCTGTAATTTTTATGAAAAAGTGTAGAAAAATTATGTAATTTTTTTAAAAGGAGGAACTTTAGAAAGAAATTAAATTTTGTATATTTGAAAGGAACATTTAAGGAGTAATGCCTATAATTTCTATAAAATGGAGAGTTTCTTGTGAATTTCTGGAGAAATATAAAAATACAAGTACATTTTTTTGAGGGGAAAAAGGGAAAAATTAAGGATTTCTCCCTCCTTTTTTGGAAATTGAAAACGAGAGGAAGGATTTCTTTAAATTTTCCTTATAAAAAAATTAGAAAAATATTTCCACAAATATTATTTTAAGAGAGAGATAAATATATAAAATTTCTTTTTAAATTATTTATATATTTCACCTTAAAAAGTTATCAATCAACAAATTTACATATTCTAAGATAAATGATTTATTCTCTTATGAAGAAACACGAAGATATTTTAATCTAATAAGTGATAAGTTAATTTTTTAGAAGAAATATAAGTAAAAAAGAGAAAAACGAGCATTTTTAAAGGATAATTTACTTAAATTTTAGCATCATTTTCCTCTAAAAAGCAACGTAATAAAGAGAACCACTTACATTTTTTTTAAGGAAAAAATAATTAATATTAAATAATCTTTGAATTATTTATACATTAAAGAATAATTTATAATCTAAAAAAAATATATACAAGTTTAAAGTCCTTATCAGCATCTCATAGAGTTAAGTTATTATCAGTATAATAAGTCAATGAAAGTTAGTTTTATAAATTAAAAATTTTGAAAAAATCAAGCAGAAAACTTTCAATATATCGTTACCATTTAATTATCTAGTAAAATTATCTAGAATTTAAATATTTACATAATTTTTAATTTTTATATAAGCAGATAAATAGTAGTTAATGAGAAACAAGAGCCGAATCCGTATTGATCGATCTCGAGCTTCCATTGTTGCCATGGTAACGGGATGCTGATGCTATCATCCTTTAAAGAAACATGATCGATTATAGATCATTTGTTATAAATAAAACTAGAATAAATATAAAAATAAATATCTTTAAAACGTATTTAAATGTTATTACGTCTGTTATTTACATTTAAAAATTAATTATAATTAATTTAATTGTTTTTAATTGAAGAAAAAAAGTAAACGAAATTTAATTTTATTTTTATTGGATTTTTATCTAAAATTATAATTTATTTATTTTCTCAAAAATTTTTTAATTTAAATTAATAAAATTATTATTTAATTGCATTTATCGTGTAGAAATTTTAATTGTGTTTAAGTGTGTTAATTACAATTAAAATGGAGATAAATATAATTCCGTATAAAATAACATTAATTTATTTTTTATTTTTTTTGTTATTATTAAATAAAACACGACTTTATTAAATTAATAAAAGTGTTTTTATACGGAAAAATTCATTATTAATATTTTATATTTAATTATTAAATGGGAGAAAATAGCAAAATTAGATTTTACATAATTTAAAAATTGTTTTACATTTTTAAATTGGAATTTCTTTCTTTTATTTTGTTTGTTTATTTTTAATTTTTTTAAAAAGTTTGCCACGTGTTTTATAATTTACAAAATTGCCAATTTTTTAATTTGTTGATTGTATAGAGAGGTCATTCTTTAGGTCATTGACACGTGCTTTGAATATTTCATACCTTTCCCCCTGTTTTCTTTGATGCTTTTCTTACTTTATTCCCTATTTTTATTATTTTTTTCATATATAGTGTATTCCCATTATCCTTATTTTTAATTTTACTTTGCAATTTTTTAATCCTCGTTTTTACTGTTTTTTCTAAATTATCCATAATTTTTCCTATTACGTTTTCATTATTATTATAATTAATTTTCTTATTATACAATTAAATTTCTCATTTTCTTTTTGTTTTCTAATATTCGTATTCCCTATTTTTCCTTTTCATTATTTAATTCCCTATCTCTCTAATTTCCTTTTTTTAATTATTTAATTTTCTATTTTTCCTATATTCCCTTTTTTTCTGTTATCCTATTTCGCTTTTTTAAATTTTTATTCACTTCCTGTCTTCCTTAAATCTCTTTTTAACTATTTAATTTCTTATATTTCTTAATTATTTTATTATTATTTAACACTCCATTATCAACATATTCCCTATCTTTAATGAATCCTTCTTTTATTCATTATTTTTGTTGATTTCCCTAATTTCCCTGATATGTGGAAATGGAATTCTTCTATAAAGCATCATTTCCACTCCGCATTTCTCCTAATTTATCCCTCAATTTCCCTATCTTCTCTGTTTTGTGAACCAGTAATTTTTACGATAACCTTTCATCTCCCTCATCTTCTCGATACATAGCCACAGATATATTTACCACTTGCATATAATATTTTAAAGATTACGCCCACAACCTTTTTCTTTAAAAATAACAATACAATTTCCTAAGATTTCTAAAAGATAGCTTCAAATTTTGCACTCAAATGGGATCACATTTATCTCCTCACAGCACCCTAATCTGTTAAGGATCGTTTAATGAACGCCGTTCTTTCTTCATCTTCCATGTTTAATTGAATAAATAACAACACTCTTCACGTAATTCGATAGGTGTAGTTTAAGAATTAATCGAGTGGGCGTTTCTTCAAGCAGAAAAAGAGAAGGAAGACGAGGAGCGACCCGCATCACCTCTCCGTCTTTCACGTAATTCATCATCAAACTTATGAAGATAATTATACAATATTATTCCGGCATCACTAGATGGCAGTATGGCGATAATTGGGGAGTGTAGAGAGGTTCAGCGCTCCAAGTGGAAGATACCAGAATCAAGAATGGAGAGGAGAAGGTCCGGTCAATCAATGCCAAGTACCCAGCTAGCTGACTGGGAGTAGTTATAGTAGAGCCAGATACAGCGGTGTCATTGCTCTAGCATGTGCAGACGTTAGAGAGTTGATCTTCTAAATCAACGTTTTTTGCACTCCAAAACATGGTTTAAACGTGTTTTTTACGTGTTCTTAGACAAAGAAAATGGCTAGAAGAAAGGATAGGACGTCAAACAAAGGCCGTCCGGGTCATACACCGAAAAAAGAACCTCACAAATCCAGCCGGTGCATGTCGTGCTGTAGACGTTTCTCTACTTTATTGTTTTCTCACGTAGGTCTATGTGCTCTTGTCGTGGGTTATAGCATCATGGGTGCATTCACTTTTCGCGCGCTCGAAGCACCCCACGAAAAAGAAAAGCATCAAGAAGTATCAAAGATTCGAGAGCAGACGGTCAAGAGATTGTGGGACATTACTTACGATCTGAACGTTTTGTATAAAGAGAACTGGACCAAATTGGTTACGGATGAGATTAAACGGTTCCAGAAGGAATTAGTTTCTGCTGTTAAGGGAGGTTACGACGGAAAGGATGTTGCTACAAATCAACAGTGGACTTTTTCTGGAGCATTTCTCTATTCTCTAACCATTCTGACTACTATAGGTAAGCCGATTACCTTCTAATTTATCTATAATAATTCATTTCTCTTATTTAAATTAATTTTTTCAAAAATATTCTAAGCATTCTTTCCCTATACGTTTATCATCCCTCCATCCACCTTCATCAATGAAAAGAAGCGGATAAAACTACTCTGTTACTATCGTGTAAGCTAGAGAAAGTTTATAGATACTCAACTAAAGTAATATCACATTTAACACGTAACACATCCCAGTTATGGTAGAGAAATCAATAAAAGAGCCAAGCCATATGCTAGCCAGTTCTAGATACTTAGCAACGAGGAAAGGAGAAATAATTAATAAAAATATATAAATAATATTTTAATATATAATTTCATATCATTTTATTTTATTAATAAAATTGAATATATAAATTCTTTTTTATTTTCTGATTTCTAAATTGCTGTTTTCTTTGTTATAATATACGAGATAAAGAATTTTCTTGGACGTGTCATTATTTCCAAGCAATTTGTCCGATAACAAAATACTGTATTTCATCTGTAAAATTACATTTTCAGTATGTTCGACATCGTTTAGAATTTTTCTTTTTATATGCCCTGTATATTTTTAGAAGGGGGAAAACACCTAACACTTTTGCACAATTACTTTAAATATTTCTTCATTAATTTAATGCGTGCTAAGGTATTTTTGCGCATTAGAATTTTGGGGAAATTACGTTAAAAAAGTTCGAATTTCACGGGAAATTTTAGACTAATCTGTAAAATCCCTCTTCGGGTAAATTCCTTTTAAGGAAAATTCCCTAAAAGGAAAATTTTAAAAATGAAAAAAAATTAGCAATTTCATTTTAAAGGGTAATTTCCATAAAAGAGATTTTTTTTAAAGAAATTTCCCTGAAAGGGAATTTTTGAATTATTAATTTATTTTAACAGGAAATTTTGATATTTTAATGAAATATAAATGTCCTTTTACGAATGATTTTCTGGGAACTATTCACAATTAAAATTTTCTTAAAAGGGAATAAATTTATATTTTCTTTAATAATTAGTTTTATTCTAATTTTTTAAAAAATTACACAAATTTTAAGGTAAATTCTCTTTTAGAAAATTTTTTTTTTAAATGTAGGGAATTTATTTCACAAATTATTTTCGTTATTTCAGAATAAATTTCTTTTTATCGAATTTCCTAAATGGAATTTTATTTTAAAATTTCCTATTGAGATTTTAAAACAATCCCTGAAATTCCCTTAAGAAACATTTTCTAAAAACAACATAGGGAAATTTTCTCTAATGTTTTTTTTTCAGATTTTTTTTCAGGAATTTTAGGGATTTTTCTAAAAAGAATTTCAGGAATTATTCTGAAATTTCCTAGTTAGTTTCATCCCTAAACTCTCAATTAGGGAAACATTTCTTTCAGAAACTTCTGTAGGAATTTTTGAATAAATTTCCTTTTAGCGTCTTTCCTGAATGGAATTTCCAGGGAATTTTCCTTTCTTAAATTCCCTAAAGGAAATTTCCTAAAAAACGTTTTTAGCGAATCTTTGAAATTTCCTAAAATGGGAATTCCTTTTAAAAATTTTAAAGTAAACATTTTATATTTTAAAGATTTTAAAACATTTGAGAATTCCACAAATTTCTCTACATTACCTTTGAAATTTCCCCTAAATTCCCTATTTATATATTTTTCTCTAAAACTAAAGTTTTAAATCTGTTTAAGTTTTGAATTAATTAATTAAAACACAATTTCCTGACTTGTTTCCACGACTTGTTGTTTCTGACAGACATTTTTGATGATTTTAGAAAATAAATTTGCTATGTGGTGAATTATTAAGTAATTTAACTGCTGAAAAGCTTGAAAGGGCCACATACCTTTAGTTTAATGCCCATTATCACATTTTCAATCGCTCTTTGATCATAATGTCAACGTTTATAACAAATAAACGTTCGTCATGAATGCCATTATCATGTTCTGTGGCTCTATAAAGTGGCCTTAGGCTCTACAGACACTTAAAAATATAATTCGTTCGCCTGTAGTTCACGAGCTACCGTTTGAAGGATATGACCAAAGGAATTTCTTTGTTAGGGATTTAAAAAAAAGTGATTACAAAGAAAATGTTAAAAATGTCCGTAGAAAAATTCAGGAATCGTCGTTATTCCCTTAAGAAACAGGGAAAAAAAATCACTTTGCAATTTCCTAAGTTGCATCTTTGTTATAAAATTTAGGGTAGGATTTTCTATTTCTTATATTAATCCCTAACAATTTAATTTACCTTACAATAATAAATTATATCGATCGACTGCGAATAGGGATTTCCCTATTTTCAATCAATCGATGTTAATTTTCTATTTCGAATGTAAAAGGAAGAAATTATTTAGGGATTTTCCCGATAAAGAAAAGTATAATAAAAATTAGATTTCCCTAAACTCTTAGGGGAAAAAAACCTTAAGATTTGAATTAATTATTGAAATAAACCCGAAACGTCGTTTACTTTATTGCTCAACTGTAGGGATTTCTCTATTATAAGAAATAATAAGTTTGTCGTTGAGATTTACGAGTGTAGGGAATAAACCTAAAACCAGAATTTCAAGATAAAATTACAAAAATTTCCCGACTGTAATAGAATACGTATGTTAGAGAATCCCTATCGTAAAGAATAAATATAAAAGCGATAAAATTATTAAAATATCTTTATTATAACAGGGAAAAATGTCATGTAAATTCCCTACTGTTGAGAGTAAATATTGTAGAGAATAAACCTAAATTAAACTTACAAAATAAATTTTAGGAATTTCCTTATTATAATAAGTAATAAATATATCATAGAGGGAATAATTTAGGGAATAAATTAACTGACATGTGTAAGAAATAAACCTGTAGTTAATAAAATAGGAATTTTAAGATAAGATTACAGAAAGTTTCTTGTTATACGAAAGAAAATCCTTAAATTTAAAGACCCACAAGGAAAATAAATTACTACAAGGTAACATAATTTATCCTTAATAATTATTTACATAAATCCTTATTTTTGAATGAGAAAAAACAAAGAATTGATGCATTAGAATTTGTTATTTTGATCAAGTTCAGAGCGATTTTCCCTTGATATTTTCATCATCAAACCCTTGTGTAAGGTATCAAACCTATAATAGGATATGTACAGAAGTCTCTTATATATATTTTCCTCTTCTCTTATTTATTTTAGACATTCAAAATTGGAAAATTTCGATTTAGAAAAGCAATTCCAATCCCGAAATATCCTCGAAGTGAGTCACTTTCAGTGTAAATAATAATTATTGATTGGCACCAAACTTTAAATTGATGTTGGCTCCATAATGTTTAAACTTATCACAAGTTTAACCTTTAAACTTTTTTTTATAAAAAAATATATTAGAATTTTTTTAAATTAAAAAAATAAAATTCGAATTTTTTATTCTTCTAATTAACCACAAAAATAATTAGTTTATGTTTTAAAAAATTTAATTAAATGTAGGGGAGATCGGGGCAACTTCGGCAAGCGGGGCAAGTTTGTCAAGCGCTTTTTTTAAAAAACAAATTAAAAGGAGACTTTGGTTATAGGTTAGGCAGTTGAGTTTTATTAGTGGCTTGTTGAGTGTAGTGTTTTTATTGTTCTCCAACAAGCGTAGTTGAATTATCAAGCAAATTTTCATTTTCGTTGAATTCCATATAATATTTTTTTTCCATTTATATTGAATTGGCAGGTTTTGTTATAATTCCATGATAACGAAAGTTACTTTTCCTGTTAGAAGGATGTAACTTCAACTTATTCACGTGGCCAGATCGTGGCTTGGCATTCTGTTCTCAGGGTTGTACTTAATGTTTCGAAATCATGACTAGCGGGGTAAGATCGGCAACATAAAGCCACATTAGAAGCAAAGGATAAAAATCAAACAGATGATAAATGAAAACATGTTTGCATTTGTTATTCATGTATATATGTCTTTGAACTTGCATTTCGTTGTAATAATATTAAATGGGTGTTGGATTTGTATTTCTTTGTTTTAATAGTGAATTCCAACTTATACATTGTTAATAACATAATTTTATATACGTGCCTATCTTGCCCCATTACTGTTGCCCCTATACCAGGGGCAACTTTAATAAAAATAATTAAAATAATTACAACTTTACAAAAAGAGAGAAGTTGCCGATCTTGCCCCTATACCCGGGGCAACTTCGTCAATTTCTCTCTTCTTGTAAAGTTGTAATTATTTTAATTATTTTTATTTCCAAACTGATTTTAACCAGTTCTATAGTAAGGTAACATTCCAATAGACAATATGCAAAGCTTTTTTTTCAGTTTACAGCAGTATTTATTACACAAAATTTAAGTAAAGCTTAACATGCCGATCTTGCCCCGATCTCCCCTATATAAAATCCGGTGGAGAATTTTGTAATTTTTCCAATTAAACAAAAGAATATATGTATATATATATATTTAATTTAAAATATTTAAAGTTAAAAATGTCTTCCTTAATTATCTTTTTCTTAAATTAAAAACAATTAATTAACTTTGCAAATATTTTACAAATAAATCACAATTTTTCATGTTGGTTTTTTTTATTCTAATTCATCAGAATTTTAATAAATTTTAGGAAATTTTCTATAATTTTTACTAATATTTTCGTCCTCTGCATCTTCTGAGGATGAATTAAAGAATTCATCTTCAGCATCATTTAATGCAGTAATTACCACTGCATTCGTGTATTACTGTACTTATCTCTATTAATTTTATAGCTGAATCACAGCATTTTTTCTAATCATTTTAAAATGAATCATAATATTTACTTTTGAGCATCCTTTTAAAAGTCTATCGTAGTATTTATTCTCTGTATTCTTCTAAAAACAGAAGCACAATATTTATCTTTCTCCTCTTTCTGTAAGATAAAACATGATATGTATTTTTTGTCTATTTTTTAAAAAATTAAATTACGGTATTTATTCCTTTCATTCTCACAAGTATTAATCACTTTATCTTTCACGTCCTAATAAATTACAATATTCGTTTTCATT